GGCTTGTAATCACACAATTCCATTGGCTGGCAAGACCCTGTTGCTAGTTAGCCAACCAGCAACGGGCATGAAACTGTATGCAGATGGTGAAGGGCAATCACCCTTAATGGGCGATCAATGGTGAAGGGCAATCACCCTTAATGGGTGATCAGGATATGCATAGGGGATTAAGGGGGGGGAATACAAAGAACACAACAGAATGTATGTTATAAATCAATGAATCGATCAATCTGATTAACCTCCGGGGAGTCATGTTGTGTGCCGTTATTGTGTTCCAAATCTAGTGATGCAAGGAAGCTTCTTCCAGGTTGTTAATCAGGACCAGAAATCCTGAAGCGAAGCAATCTCTCCCTCCCTCTGCCCTCCCCCCACAGAAATCCACCCCCTTTCCTTGCCTATAAATGCCTCCATTCCCCTCGCAGGAGGAAAGCCTGGAGTTGCCTCTGAGCAGACTGGCTATCCCAGGAGGCCAAGGGACAGGTGAGTGGGGCTCTCCCACCTGTGGGCACCGGACAGGTGAGGCCCCTGTGCCAGATCACTCCTGTTTCTGCATTTGAAGGGACCTCTCTCAGATGGCTGCATGTGATATCCAGATTGCAGTAGGGGATCTGCAGGAGGGTCCCTCAGGCAGGGAGCGAAGGATCGATTGGGGATCTCTGGGTGGGAAAGAGACCTATAGGACAATCTCTCTCAGGGAAGACCCCCCCAGCAGACATTACACAACAGTGCAGGATCTGCCCTGAGCCACCAAGGAGGCTGTTGCGTGGCCAAGGAAGGGGAAACGGGGTCCAGCTTGGCAAAGGCAAAACTGTGAAACAAAATCTGGGACTCCCTGCTCGGTGCTGGGGTGGATGTGGGGTCCCCTCCCTGAGGTGGCTTCCCCAGGGGTCTCCTTCTCCCTTCTCCCCCCTCGGCTCTTCTCTGCAGGGAAGGAAGGAAGGAAGACCATGGGGCGATTCATCTGTCTGAGCTTCGGCCTGCTGGTCGTGGGCGTCTCCCTAAGAGGTGAGTCCCAGCTGGGGTCTCCCCTGTTTGGAAAGAGCGCGTCTCTCGCACCTGAACCCCTTCCTGATTAGACACCCCCTCCCCCACAGCGTCCTCTCGCTGGAGTTGATTTTATTCCTTCTTTGGCTTATGCTGCAATCTGGATCCCACTCTGTCTCTCTGCTCCAAGACCCAGGGCTCTTTGCAACAAGGCAAAAACAAAGGAGATTAATTAAAATTAACTTTTAATTAAAAGTTAGAACTTTAGCAAAAATGGATGCATTGATCATTAAGAGTGCCCCCCCACCTCTGGCTAAGGGTTTCTCTCCATGGGTCCCACAGGAGACCGCTGGCCCTTTGCTACATCCTGAAGACCTGAGCACCTGTCGGGGGCACCTTCAGAAAGGCCTCTCCTGGGCGGGAGGGGATGGGGGGGGCAGTCCCACAAGCAATCAGCTCTTAAGCCATTTGGGGTTCAGCAATTTGGGGGCATCCAGTAGGACAGTGGAGCTCCTTCAGGACAGACCCACATGGTCCCTGTACTGAGGACTGCAATTTCAGGAGACATTCAAAGGCAAACTCAAATAAAGCATGGTAGCCAAAGTGGGGATAATGGTTGCTACATCTGACTGGCTCAGGAGGTTCCCGAGTCTCAGGATCCAAGTGTGCAAAGATTAAAGAGGCTTAACCTGGTTCTGGAAGGAATCCGTTTTCTGGCTTGGCCTGCTTCACTGGATGACAACCTGACCGAAATGGACAGATTCACACAAGACAGGCCGCTTGAAGGGAATTAGCCAAGTCTAAACCAAATGCAGCTGCTGTGTTTGTAACCCAAGTCGGTTTCAATGTCATCAAAGAGGTTTGTAGCTCGGCAGGCTAAGGATGTTCTGGAGACCCAGCTGTCTCCTCCTCCTCCTCTTCCTCTTCCTCTTCCTCTTCCTCTTCCTCTTCCTCTTCCTCCTCCTCCTCCTCCTCCTCCTCCTCCTCCTCCTCCTCCTCCTCCTCCTCCTCCTCCTCCTCCTCCTCCTCCTCCTCCTCCTCCTCCTCCTCCTCCTCCTCCTCCTCCTCCTCCTCCTCCTCCTCCTCCTCCTCCTCCTCCTCCTCCTCCTCCTCCTCCTGCTTCTCCCCCTCCTCCTGCTGCTGCTCTTCTCATTGGGATTCCTCTCTTCCCACACAGGAGCCAAAGGCAGCTGGTGTCCCTCCGATTGGCTCGCCAGGGAAGGGTTTTGCTACAAGCTGTTCAATATATTCAAGAATTGGAAATATTCAGAGGTCAGAAGTGCTTGTGTGTGCCTGCGGGTCTCCTAGCCCAGGCAGGGGAGAAGTCTAGGGAGAGCCTTGCACAGCCCCCCCCCCCGAGTCTCCTCTGGCTGGGCTGCAGAGGAGAACCCCCCGGCTGTGTGGAGGAAAAGGTAGCAAAGACCCCTAATTTTGGGCAAATATTCCCTGGCTTTCGTGGCCGGTATCTGTTGGGCAGTGCTGACTTCAGGGTTGAGGGACCCTCCTGTAGACCACAGAGTCCTGATTCTTCACTGGCAACGTGGGTGGCATCTTCCAGTCAACTTGACTCTAAAGTGATGGACAGCTCAGGTTTTAAGGAGCTAATCATGAATTTAAGTCAGGAAATGTTCCAGAGCTGCAGACAACAGCAAAGACATCTGCAGAGGTCAGCAAAGTCAGTTTGGTGGCTAGGAACATGCAGTCAGATCCCTGCTCTCTTCCCTCACTCACTCTCACTCTCTCACACACACACTCACACGCAGAGACACAAACAAACACACACGTGTTTCTTCTCTGCTGAACAAGTGACTTCCTCTGTTGTTGTTCCCTCCCAGTTGTTCTGCAGGAAACACAAAGCAGGTTGCCACCTGGCCTCCATCCATAGCACTGAAGAGTTAACTGACGTGGCCGAGTAC